TCACAGAAAGATAAGACTCCAGCAGTGGTTCGTCCACCTGGGGCACTCCAGCGATCAAGTCAGTAATCAATATCTCTCAAAGATAGCCAATTGTGCTTAACTCACAAGCCAGAATACAAAAAATGTACCTTAGACCCACGAGGGTGCCCCTCTTTTATAGCCAGCACTTACCTGATTCCTGTAGAAGCCTAGCTTCTCTTGGACTCTTGCTTAATGCTTATCCTGGACTCTCCAATAGATAAACATAAACTCCCTAAGAACTTTATCCTTATCCAGGCTGAGGTCCTCCCTCATTCTAGGACTCTTGTCCCTTATCCGTTCATCTCGAATTCTGGTGTTTCCGCAGATAGCATCGGCCTAGCTGAAATCATCTCAGCACCATTACCAGGACACGTGGTACCTCGGCTGGCACTTCGGTGCCACCTTGGCCATGTATCGTTATTCAAAAAATATGTCCCCACAACTGCCCCCTAGGTTCTATTACCTCGGCATCCTGAGGTGATGGAATCTATATCTTTTGACCATATAGCATGTCGGCTAAGTTTGCTCTATCCTTCATTACCGAGGTCATCATTCATCAGCTCTACATGTCCAAGACTTATAGTCTATTTTCCCAAATGCCTTTAGAACCAAAAACCAAGTTTTTCAAGTTCTTTAACCAAGATCGTCCCCCAAGCCGAGGTCTTTACTTCATTAAATCAAGAACTCCAAGAGTTTTTACACGTGTGTGAGCTGTCACGCACAGCAACTCAACCGTTTTCGCTACGCGTCTCCTCCCTATTGAACCGTACCTGACACGTGCCATCAAGTCGTGTCATTTTTGATTGCGCTGCCTGACAAACACATCGTCCTAAGCACACTAATTGCAATTTGCCGCCTTTTCGTGTTTTGACAAAAACATTTTCCTCTCTCTTCGTCGTTTCACTTTTGCACCTGTGTTCTCGCTCGAGTTTTCAAGTTTTTCTCTCTAAAAAATCCCCAACCTCCATTGTTTCCCTCTTCGAGCTCCCTGTAACCGCTACATTTACCTCCTTCGGCGAAGCATTTGCTGTTCTTCTCTACTCACTGCCACCGTCTAACCCTGGCGTACTTCACACCAGTTTCATTTTCTTCAGTGAGTTACTATATTGCTTTAAGGGAAGCTTGGAGTAGAATAGTAGTTCTTGATTTTGTACTTTGCACAGAAGTTCTTAATTAGCTTACTGTCAAACTGTGTACCATTGTTTGCAATTATCGCCCTTGTGATTCTAAACCTGGTGATGATGTTTTTCCATATGAAGTTCTTTACATCAATGTCCCGAATCTTTGCAAGGGGTTCAACTTTCACCCACTTGGTGAAGTAATCTGTTGCTACTAGCAGGAACTTCTTTTGTCCAGTTGCTTGAGGCAGTTGTCCAACAAGATCCATGTCCCATTGGGCAAATGGCCAAGGGCTGGACACTGGGTTCAAATCTGTTGCTGGTTGGTGTATCAAAGGTGTAAACCTCTAACACTTCTCACACTTTCTGACATAAGCTTCAGCATCTTTCTGCATATAGGGCCACCAGTACTCCTGAGTAATGGCCCTATGAGAAAGTGACCTGTCCCCAGTGTGGCTTCCACATACTCCTTCGTGTATTTCATACAGGAAGTCTTCAACTTGTGAAGAATGTACACACCTCAAAAGGGGACCAGTAAAAGATCTTCTGTAAAGATATCCTTCTGCTGTCAGACTAAATCTTGTTGACTTCAGTCTGATCTTGTGTACTTCTTTATGATCATCTGGTAGTTTCCCATCTCTAAGAAATATGATTATCGCATCCATCCAGCTTGGTTCTATCTCCACACACTTGCCTCATGCTCTGTGTTCAGTGGTTCTACACTTGGACTTGACAAGTAGCCAACCATTATTGTCCTTGTCTCTCCTAGTTTCATTGTACTAGCCAGGTTGGCCAAGGCATCAGCATGGCTATTGTCATCTTAGCTAACTTGCAGTAGTCGGCAATTTTGGAATAATGTTATCAGTCTGCCCACCTCTTTTGCATAGGCCATCATTCTTTCATCTCGGGCTGCGTGTTCGCCCATTGCCTGGTTGACGATAAGCTAGAAGTCACAAAAGACCATCATCTCGTCAGCTTCCATTGCTACTGCCAACTTTAACCCTGCGATCAATGCTTCATACTCTGCTTCGTTGTTTGAGGCTTTAAACCCCAAACGAATGGATTGTTCCAGCATCCGCCCATCTGGTGATACTAGCTTTACTCCTGCCCCCCGCTCCTTGTAGGTTTGAACTTCCATCAATAAACTAGCGAAAGGAGTCGCCGACATAAATACTGCAGGGCCTAAGTTTCTCTTCTTTCCTCTGTTTTGCTATCCCCAGTTGGGTTTCTCCTCATTCACCTAGACATCGTATACCCTGGCTCAACGAAGCCCGATGGTGCCTGGTGTGAACTCGGCCACGAAGTTGGCCAAAACTTGGCCTTTGATTGCTGTTCTAAGTCTGAACTCCAAGTCATATTGACCCAATACCACTGGCCATCTGGCTATTCTGCCTGTCAGATCTCCTTGCTGCAACAAGGACTTCAAAGGATGGTCAGTTAACACCACAACCTTGTGGGCTTGAAAGTAATGATTCAGCTTCTTGGAGGCCATTACTAAAGCCAGTGTCAGCTTCTCTAAGGCTAGGTATTTGATTTCTGCATCTGTTAGGGTTTTACTTACGTAGTAAACTATCCTTTGTTCTCCATTTTCTTCTCTGATTACCACTACACTCACTACATGCTCGGAAACCGCCAAGTATAAGAGCAACTCCTCTCCAGGTACTGGATTCGAGAGAACAGGAGCGATGGTCAAGTATTTCTTTAAGTCGGCCAAGGCGACTTCGCACTCTTCTGTCCATAAAAATTCTGTGGCTTTCTTCACTAAACTAAAGAATGGTTTGCATTTGTCAGAACTTCTGCTTATGAATCTGTTTAGGGCTGCAACCCTTCCAGTCAACATCTGCACTTGTTTTGCCGACGTTAGGCTCTTTAATTCCAAGATGACCTTGATTTGATCTGGGCTTGCCTCAATGCCCTTTCTGATGACCAAGTATCCCAGGAATTTCCCTGACCCAACTCCAAATGCGCACTTTTATGCATTAAGTCGGAGCTGAAATGTCCTTAGGATATCAAAGACTGTCTTTAGGTCGGCCAGATGATCCTCAGATTCCTTGGTCTTCACGACCATGTCATCAATGTATACCTCCATTGTTTTGCCTATTAGATGTCTGAACATCTTAGTCACCAATCTCTGGTAAGGGGCTCCTGCATTTTTCAACCCAAAAGACATCATTCTGTAGCAATATAGCCCTTTTGGGTGATAAATATAGTCTTCTCCTCATCGGGGGGGTACATGGCTATTTGATGGTACCCCTTGTAATAGTCTAGAAAGCTCATCCTTCCATGCCTTGAAGTGGCTGTAACAGCGCCCGAACGCCCCGGGAGGATGAGTCCCGTTCTGTTCATTTGGGGTTACTACAGTTCGGACTCGACTTGTGTCACGGTTCTTAATCTGAACCAAAGAGTCCAAATCTGGCAAATCGTTTTGAGAAACAGATTTTTGAAAAAGTAGTGCCAAACATGGACTGCTTTGCCAGATACAGAGTCGCCACCTAAATATTTTAAAATGGGGGAATTTAGGAAACCCTGACTCAGTGCCGAAGGCCACATGTCCGTCATCACCGGAGTTGTCTCGGCTCAGGAGCTTGGGTACGATCGGGGAAGGTCAGCTATGAGCACCCCCTTTCGCCCGGTCCGAAGACCGGCCTCTACTAACCGAACTCCCACTTTTTGAAAACTTTATGTGTTCTTAAACCAATTGTTAGCCTAGAATTACTATGTTATGCACGCAGCAAACAAGTATAGACTAGATCACCCAAATTGGAACAAAACATTTCATGC